GGGTGGTGAGGTAGGCTGCCGGCAAGCTAGCAGACCCCTCACTGTGCCGTCTGCCTGGAACTCATGCAAATGATATTGGATGTAAACTGTAATTGGGGAAAAAGAAAAAGCTAGAAAAATTCTGGGTGTGCATTCATCCAAATGGAGCGTGAGGGAAGTTCCCGTGTCACCCACTGTCGTCTTTTTTACCAGGTGAACCACAAGCCTTTGCGAACTGCCTGAGCCCTCAACCTTCACCGATGCCTCGTCTCATGTTCAAGCTGCCTGAACGCTCCCCATGCTGCATGCATGTCAGCTGGCCTCCCAGAGCACGTCCTTGGGCAGTGGGATTCTGCTGCTCACCTCCCCTTGCCAAATAGCCGTGCCTTGCCCCCTGCCCGGGCCCACACCACCGAGACTGCCAGTCCCCCAGGGTTCCCTGCCAGCTGTCCAATCATCCCACTCCACCTAGCTTGTTTAATTTCCTAATTAAACTACACTGAGCCTGTGGCCCAGAATTGTTTTCTGATCAAGACTAAGGGATAGCTGCAGGTTCTCAACTTGCCGGATAAATTGCTGTTAAGCCTTGACACTTGTGAACAATGAAGGTAAAACAGAACTCACTTGAAGTGAATGTTAAGACACAGCTTGCTCCCTCCAGTAGGCTGTTTAGAATGGGAGAGTTACTTGTACGCTGAGGGGTTGTGGAATTAACTCCCTGCAAAAATCTTGGTTTAGTCCAGTGGTTGACAAACCGCGGCTCTCGAGCCACATGCGGCTCTTTGGCCCCTTGAGTGTGGCTCTTCCACAAAATACCACGTGCAAGCGCGCACGTACAGTGCGATTGAAACTTCGTGGCCCATGCGCAGAAGTTGGTTTTCGGGCTGGGCGAGTCTATTTTGAAGAAGTGGGGGGTGTCGGTCAGTCGGGCACAGGAGAAGCAGCGCAGGCGGCCGCGGGATACGCAGCGCGGGGGAAGGCACTCGCGATTCATGCACCAGTTGAGTGAGCCAGTCAGCAGTCTCTGTGCAGTGGTTAGTGCTAGTCACGTCCGCAAATTGCGCGCGGGTGACAAAAGTACCTACTCGAAGCATAAAGTTACCTGTATTTTTCCAACCAGCTGCAAATACTACAGGTATTTTTGTCATCAATTTAAGAATTGTAATTAGTTTGCCAACCACTGCTTTAGTCAGAAAGCAGGTTGATGTGGAAGGAATGTAAGAATTGCATTAGTCCCTAGAATTACTGAAAATTGGCCAAGGGAAATTTAAATTTCCAGGTAACTTTGAGACTTACTTTGTGCAACTTAAAAGTATAAGATAGTGCGCAGCCAGAGTGGCTCTGCTGGTTCCGTGTCAACCCGTGCATCCAGAAGCTGCCGCGTGCATCCCCAGGGCACAGCTAGGATGGGCACAAAGGAGTTGATCCATGTTCCACTCTCACAAGGATGTTTCTCCCTCTCCCTTCCTTTCTCTCTAGGAATCAATAAAGAAATCTTCAACAAAAGAACATGATAGAGCAGCAGTGTTCAGAATAGGCCTATGGGTGGCATCCCATGCTCGTTACCTTCATCTTAGGTTGTCTGAGAAAACCCACGTGGTTGCAAATACGACCCGAGGAATCCTGGGTGCTGTGCACGGAGGATGGGCCGCAGTGGCCTTCTAACTCGGTGGTTGGCAAACCACGGCTCTCAAGCCACATGCGGCTCTTTGACCCCTTGAGTGTGGCTCTTCCACAAAATACCACGTGCAGGTGCACACGCACAGTGCAATTGAAACTTCATGGCTTATGCACAGAAGTCGGTTTTGGGCCTGAGCGAGTCTATTTTGAAGAAGTATTGTTGATATTTGGCTCTGTTGACTAATGAGTTTGCCGACCACTGTTCTAACTCATTCATGCTTTTTCTAGAGCAGCTGAGACTGCTGGGATCCAACCTGGTTTTGGTTCAGTCCATTTCAATTCCTACATGCTGCCCGAGTATGTGCGCTTATGCCCACTCTAGTTAAGACTGCTGGGGGTGGGGGTGGGTACCAGGGATGAAGACCTGAGGGTCAATTAAGGATTTTCTCACCCATTCGCGGAGAACAGAATACATGTGTAAGTGAACCGGTCAGCTAAATGAGCACAAGTCTTGCAAATATTTTTTCAATTCCCATGTATTTTTGGCTTTGGGGGCAATGTTATTTTTTTCAATATGAAAAAATAGTTCAACGCAACAGAAATTTTAAGTGTGGATAGGACAAAACCAAAGGTGTGTATGTGGGGGAGGGGGTGGGCAATAACAAATGTTACCAAAAGACAAGAGGTGTCCTGTCCCCTCTCCCCGGGGAATGACTCCAACATCTAGACGACAGTGTGTACCTTTCATACACAGACTGATACTCCTCTTTGGGTAAGAAACGGTGACGGGGAGGACCTTTCAGGAGGCTTAGGGACCAAGGGGTCCTGGTTCTCCCTGGAGCCCCGTCTCCATGCAGAGGAAGGAAGGGATTCGATGTGAGGTGGAGGTAAAGTGGAAGAGGGAAGGATCCTACTGGATGGAGTCGGGCAGACCCTGCAAAGGAAACAGCTCATGACTGAAAATGGAGATAATACTGTTAATGCCTCCCCCAAAGCTAAAGGTGGAGCAGGAACACGTACCTGGAAACTGGGACTCGAACCTGAATCCCATTCTCCAAAACAGGGTGAACGCTACCCACTCTTCATAGGAAGCTCAACTGGCTGGTTAGCGTGTTCTTTTCCCGTGGCTGCCTGCGGGCTTGGGGGACGTTTTCAGTGCAGGTCTAAGTGGGACCGGGATGACATCCAGCTTTCTTGGCTAATTATGCTGAAAACAGGGAAATAGTAACTGGGCCCTGGCTGGTGTGGCTCGGTTGGTTGGGCGTCATCCCATGCATGGAAGGGTTGCTGGTTTGGTTTGGGGTCAAGAGCACAAGCTCAATCCCTGATAGGGGGTATGCAGGAGTCTGCTGATCCATGTTATGTCCTCACATCAATGTTTCTCACTTTCTCTAAAAAACCATTTTAAAAATCTATATATATAAAAGCCTAAGCCACTGTTACAACGGGTCAACCAAACGCTATGACGCACACTGACCACCAGCAGGCAGATGCTGCTGCCCCGATGGTCAGTGCAGTCCCACAGCCACCCTCCCACGGTCCCTTCCCCCACCCTCACACCCCCACCGGCCAGGCCTAGGGACCCCTCCTGTGTATATATATATATAAAAACAATTTAACTGGATAGGAGGAAATAGGCACCAGAAGGAAATAAAAGTTACCCAGCAGAATGCCAGAAATATAGATTTCCCGGTGTGGAACAACAGAGGAGACATTCAAGAAACAATGAATATTTATTGAGCCCTATTATGTGCCAGGCATTGTTCTAGAACATCCCTAAAAGAAAGAAAAAAAGGCAAAAATGCAAATTCTGAGGGAGACGAAAGGGGCAGCTGAGGAGAAAGGCTGAGGGAGCGAGAAGCGGAGTGCAGGCGCGGCCTCAGGCCTCCTCTTCGGCCTCCTCACCAAAATCCTCCTCCTCCTCGGCCGTGGCGTCCTGGTACTGCTGGTACTCGGACACCAGGTCGTTCATGTTGCTCTCGGCCTCGGTGAACTCCATCTCGTCCATGCCCTCGCCCGTGTACCAGTGCAGGAAGGCCTTGCGCCGGAACATGGCCGTGAACTGCTCCGAGATGCGCTTGAACAGCTCCTGGATGGCCGTGCTGTTGCCGATGAAGGTGACTGCCATCTTCAGGCCCCGAGGTGGGATGTCGCACACGGCTGTCTTGACGTTGTTGGGGATCCATTCCACAAAGTAGCTGCTGTTCTTGTTCTGCACATTGAGCATCTGCTCGTCCACCTCCTTCATGGACATCCGCCCACGGAAGACAGCAGCCACGGTGAGGTAGCGGCCGTGGCGGGGGTCGCAGGCAGCCATCATGTTCTTGGCATCAAATACCTGCTGGGTGAGTTCAGGTACAGTGAGGGCACGGTACTGCTGGCTGCCCCGGCTGGTGAGGGGGGCGAAGCCGGGCATGAAGAAGTGGAGGCGGGGGAAGGGCACCATGTTGACGGCCAGCTTGCGGAGGTCAGCGTTGAGCTGGCCAGGGAAGCGCAGGCAGGTGGTGACCCCGCTCATGGTGGCCGAGACAAGGTGGTTCAGGTCCCCATAGGTGGGCGTGGTCAGCTTGAGGGTGCGGAAGCAGATGTCGTAGAGGGCCTCATTGTCGATGCAGTAGGTCTCATCAGTGTTCTCTACCAACTGATGGACAGAGAGGGTGGCGTTGTAGGGCTCCACCACCGTGTCAGACACTTTGGGCGAAGGCACCACGCTGAAGGTGTTCATGATGCGGTCAGGGTATTCTTCACGGATCTTGCTGATGAGCAAGGTGCCCATCCCAGAGCCTGTGCCCCCGCCCAGCGAGTGGGTCAGCTGGAAGCCCTGCAGGCAGTCGCAGCTCTCAGCCTCCTTCCGCACCACGTCCAGGACCGAGTCGACCAGCTCAGCCCCCTCTGTATAGTGGCCCTTGGCCCAGTTGTTCCCGGCCCCAGACTGACCTGGAATGGGGCCAGGAAGGAAGCCTGATTAGTAAAGTGTAGTACGTGCACATCACATCTTCACCTCGCACCTCTTGGGATAATGCCTCTGGGACTATTTTTTCTCCCTCACCTGTGATATAAGTCCCTGATAGTTTACCAAGTGCGGCAGCCACCCCCCACCCTCCATTAGCTCTCAGAACATGGCCCTATAAAAGCTCTCCAGCACAATAATCATTTCCTAACTCTTCCTGCCCTCTTACACCCAAATAAATGGAATATGATGCCATCTGCATGTATCTGTATAACTTACCAAAAACAAAGTTGTCTGGTCTGAAGATCTGGCCGAAAGGACCAGAGCGAACAGAGTCCATGGTACCCGGTTCTAGATCCACCAAGATAGCACGAGGGACATATTTCCCACCTTCAGGGAAGAGAAGTAGAGGCATGAACATTGGCAGAAGGTAAGTAAATTGGGGCTGGATGACAGCCAGGGACCCAAACGTGTGGCTCCAGGGGCTGCTACTAAGTGACAGTGGAGCTAGTCTTTGATCCCCATGGTGAGAAATTAGAGGAAGGTTTACAAAGGAAAAGGATAGATTCATTCAAAGGAGTTAAGGGTTCCCTAGGAATGGAAAGAGACGCCAGGAGGAGATGGCGCCTGATCTTCCCGGCTCCTCCCCTCACCTGTGGCTTCATTGTAATACACGGAGATGCGGTCCAGCTGCAGGTCGCTGTCCCCATGGTAGGTGCCGGTGGGGTCGATGCCATGTTCATCACTGATCACCTCCCAGAACTGTCAGGAAAGAACGGTGAACCCTCAATTATGCCCCTGCTCCCACCACTTTAATTCCAAACACACTGTGCAAGCATCCCCTCCATCTGCCTGCGCGCCCCTCCCTCTGACACCTCCACCCACGGGAAAGCCGCCTTGCGATGTGAAATGATGTCCAGCTGGGGGGACCGGCGATCGCAGACACAGATGGGGTGGACGCAGGTGGCTAACCTAACTAGGCAAGCTCACCCCTCGCCCCCACGCAAGGCATGCAAGCCGCGCACAGAGGGCCAGAGAAACCAGCTGCCGCAGCGGCCGACCCCCGCCCTCCGCCCGGCGGTAGCGAACGCCAAGCTGCTGACAAAGGGAGGCGTCGCGCGTGGGCGGGGCCGAGGCGCGAATTCAGCGCGAGGGGCGGGGCCTGCCCTGAGCTAGCGCGCCCCCTGGCGGCCCGCGGGGCACAGCGCCCGCCCCTGAGCCCAGCCCTTTTGCTACAATGTAGCGGCCGATAGCGGCCGCACTTTCTCCCCCGCTACACTGCAGCCGCGCGCAAAAGGAAAGAAAGAAATACCCCTTTGGCCTCGGAATTGTATCCCTTGGCCAACTTCCCCTCCTCTTGCTTTAAAGGAGGATTGTCTTGCTTTCTCCCACAATTTAGTCCTGCGGGGACCCTTTAAAGAAAAGGAAGCCCTCCTTTTCACCTTGTCTGTTCAAGCCCTAAAAGGGTCTCTAAGCGGAAATAAAGGAAGCAAAATGAATCCAGCTCATATTAGTCTTCCATCCACGAAAACCTACGGGCCTGCCCCGCGGGAATCATAGGGGCGCGCCGAGACCCCTGGTCTTTCGTGGAGGTAACGCGTCCCCAGCTTAAGAACCGGGGTCTGCAGGTGTCCCCCCATCCTGGCCCCTTTCACCTCGGGCTTGGCCTGCGAAACCCCGCCAAGGGGGATGCACATGGAGGAACCTCGCCTCGCTTTGTCTCGGCCAGTTTCCGCATCTCCTTCCCTCCCCGACCCTCGGACCGTTAGGAGATTCCCTTTAGGTAAAACCTTACAGAACCTCGGTCTTCCAGTCCCCCAAACCTCAAGGGTGCTTTTGATAGCTCCCCCAAAATGATTCTGCCAAAAAAAAAAAAATCCCCATTTTCCAAAAGCAAATTCTACTGCAAATGTGTATTATACATATAAAATTTCCTTTTGGCAAAGGTTGGCTAAGGCTGGAGACGGCAAACAGCCCACAACCATTCTGCATAGTTTATCTGGATTCTTTTCTTCTCAAAGAGAAATAGAGTTAAAAGAGGTTTAAAATCCTTACCTTGGCACCAATCTGGTTGCCACACTGACCCGCCTGGATGTGCACGATTTCCCTCATGGTTCAAATTTAAAAATTTTGCCCGCTTCAAAAGTGTGTGTATGGGGCAAGAAAATCTCTAATCTTTCCTCCGCTGCTCAAGGCGGTGGGATGGGACGTGGCCGGAGGCTGGAGCAGCGAGTCCGCACGCCGCGGCTGGCAGGCTGCGGGAGGGGAAGGCGGG